TTTGTTTCTTTGTGGTGTTGCTGCTTCTTTGTTCTGTTTGTCTTTCCCTGTTGAATTCTTGATTTTTGTGTTCTTTCTTGTGAGTTTCCTCATAGTTTTAATGTTTTCATATTCTTCTTGGATTCTCCTTCTTTTGGTATGTTGTGAAGTGTTAATTTTCTTTGAGGTTTCCTTATAGTCCATTGACTTTTCTGTCCATTTAGTGCAGTCTATTTTATCCTATAATCCAACTGACCTTCTGACTGTCTGGATCTCTGTTCCTATGTGTTCACCTTCTTTTGCATTGTACTTGTTTTGGTCATAGACTGACCTCCCAGAGTCTCTGGGTTTGTTCTTATAGTTTTGTTTTGTTAACAATTCTTGTTTCTGTTGACTTAATTCAGGGAGGTGCTGCCACGTACGTCAGTCTCTGGTTGTTGTCTGTTCTTGTTTGTTCTCAGTCCACAGAACTCCCTCTAGGATGTTTTGTAGTGCAGGGTTGGCTTTGATGAATTCCCATAGTTTCTGTTTATCCTGGAATGTTTTGATTACACCATCATTTTTGATTGACAGCTTTGCTGGATAAAGGATTCTTGGTTGGCAACTTTTTTCTTGCAGGGTTTTATATATGTCTCCCCATTGCCTTCTCACTTGCATGGTTCTTGCTGAGAGATCTGAGCTTAGTCTGACTTGCTAGCCTTTGTATGTGAGCCTTCTGTTTTCTCTTGCTGCTTTCAGAAGCATCTCTTTGTCTTTGAGTTTGGAGAGCTTGACTATGATATGTCTTGATGATTTTCTTTTGGGGTCCACTCTTCCTGCACTTCGTTGGGTTTCTTGTATGTTTATCTTTTCACTTTTGAGGATGTTAGAGAAATTTTCTTCCAGTAATTCTTTGACTATTTCCTCTATGAACTTGTGAGATTCTTCTTGTTCTGGAATGCCAGTAATTCCTACGTTATTCCTCTTCATGTTGTCCAACATGAATCTTAGACCTTCCTCTGAATTTTTTACCCTTTTTTGTGTTTGTTCTTCTATCTTAGTGGTATTGAGAGACCTGTCTTCCAGCTCACTGATTCTTCCTTCCATTTCATCTACTCTACTCCTCTGCTCTTTCAGAGTGGTTCCTATTTCTGATATTTTGTTATTGATCGCTTGGACCTCTTTCTGTAGGTTTTCGATTGTTACCAATGCTGTATCTATCTTGTTTGATTGTTTCTGTAGCACTTTCCTTACTTGTTATTTTTCTCAATGACATTGTAAAGTGTTTTGAAACATTTTATAGTCATTTTTCTGAATTCTTTCTCAGGCATTTCCAAGACCTGCCCTCCTTCCAGCATGGAGCCCAGATCTGCTTCTGGATCATTTGTCTCAGATATTTTATCTTTTTTTCTGGACATGTGCTGATATGGTCATCTGCTTTTGCTTCTTGGACATGTTTAATGTTAATCTGTGGTCCTAATACTAAATTGAGTATGTATTTTGGTAATTTTTATGTTTTCTGATTGCTTCCAGGAAGATGTAGTCAGGATGTGGTCTTCTCTTTTCACTCTTCTTATTGCTTAATTCAGAGTAACTTTCACAGGTGTTGCCTGTGTTGTTGGTATATGGCAGCTGGTATTGGTTGTTGCCTGGGTTTTGGTGTTTTATAAAGTGTTATTGCAGCTTGGCTTTTTGGCAGCAGTTGCTGACTCTTTTTGTGTAATGTAGGGAGACAAAGAGTTCTCTCATAGTAGAAGGGAGGCTATGTGAGAGCCAAACAACACCAGTCAGGTAGAAAACAAAACCAAAATCAAAATAATAAAAAAAGCAATAATGAGAGAAAAACAAAGCAAGACAAAACAAAAAACCCAATGGAAAGAACAACAACAACAAAAAGAAGAATTCAGCACCAGCACCAGAAAAAACAACAAGATTGAATAAAGCAGTCTCTAGTCACACACACACACACACACACAAAAAAAAAAAAAAAAAAAAAAAAAAACCCATGGGAAAAAAAAGAAGAATTCTGCATCAGAAAAAACAATAAGAATGATTAAGGCAGTCTCTAGTTACATACACATACCACCAGCTGGTGAGCTCGAACCACTGACTTTGCAGTTCAAAAGGCTTTGCAGTCTGGCACATTAACCCACAGAGACACAGCAGGACTGCTGTTTTACTGGTGGTAAAAACCAACTCAAGGCATCTCAGCTTGGGCTGGCTTGTGCCTTGATGGGCAGGCCTGAACCTCGGAGGTTGGGCAGAGGGGGTGGAGGGCGGGGTTAGTGGCTGCAGGCAGATGGCGTCCATGTCTGATGACATCAAAAAATGCCTCTCTCTGTCTCCCTGCACTGTGGGCACCCGCCCTGCCCTATATCCATGCCGATAACGCCTCCCGTGGCAAGTAGGCCCCTCCCCCCGCCACGAAGGGTTGTGTTAGTTCCTGTGGTCCCGCTGGCTCTCTGGGAGAGCCCGCCATCCGAATGGGTCCGCTCAAGCCCCGCGCTCCAAGCTCCGGAGTGGGCGGGCACAGTCCCGGGAGCGGGAGCTGAGTGCAGGTGGGCAGAAGCTCAAAACCCCACAACTCCCCAGCAGTTTGATCTTTCGAAAAAGCAAGTTCATCATGATGAAGGCTAAAGTCTTACATTTGCCCAAAGGCTGTCTGTCTACCAGGCGGGGGCCTCCCCTGTGCGATACCACCCACCCTTTCTCCAGAGCCTGCATCTCGCTGTTTGCTTTTGTAAAGATTGTTGTTATTATTAAGTGCGGTCGAATTGGTTCCACCCCATAGCATCCATGTATAGGGTTTCTGAGTTGCAGCTGGTGAGCTTGAACTGCCTACCTTGTGGTTCAAACTGACTTTGCAATCAGCGCATGAACCCACAAGGAAACCCTGTGGGAGTAGTTCTATTCTATCATATATAGGGCTGTTAGGACTCAATGACACAATAGGAACAACAACAAAGTTATACTTTGGAGTATCTGAGTAGCACACATGGTTAAGCATTTAAGTTGTAGGTGAAAGATTGGTGATTTGAACCTACCCAGAGTTGCCTCGGATAACAGCCCTGGTTATGTGCTTCTGAAGGTAAGGTAACAGCCTTGAAAATCATGAGTCATCCTGAGCTGGAAATAACACTATAGAAACCATCACCACCACTAGTCACAACAAAGTTAGACTTTATCTTTGCTCCAAAGACAGAGATTGTTCTTTGATTCTTTCTTATGGATAAACTTTTCTAGGTTTGAATAGTGTGCTGTGCAACTGGTTCCTTATCATTGTGACCCTGTATAGGGTTTCAGAGGCTATAAATCTTTATAAGAGAAGAAAGCTTCATCTTTCTCCCCAGGAGTGGCTGTTAGTTTCAAACTACTGACCTTGTAGTTAGCAGCCCTACACGTAACCCACTATGCTACTAGGGCCCCATGTAGTTAAGAAAAAAAGGTGGTACTTAACGTGGCCAACATTGGAAATCTCTGGAAAAGAAATGTTGGCTCTGCATTAGATGACCATTTTTGTTGACATGTTCTATGATATGATGCCAGTGCTTCTGCTTGGGGTCCAACTGATCTGCAAAACCTAATGATCTTACATAATTAACTGTGAAACTCACGTGATCCATCAGAGGACAGTAGCTGGAAGCAATTCTGGTGCTCAGAGATGAGTAGATCGTCTTGTTCAGTTTTCCTAAAAGTTTTCGGAGGGTGATCAAGGCCCGAATTACTACAGTCTTGTCTTTGGAAAAGAAGGCATCCAGGATGGATAATATTAAGCTGTCAACATTTTCTATCTAAAAATAGGAGAAGAATGGTGGGATTGGAATTAGAAGGAGACTTGAGAAAATGTATCAGGATTACTCCTTTGAAATCCCAAAAAACTTTCTGAGTTGACCTCTGGGAAACATGCAGTCATGTATTGAAGCAGACTTACAAAGTTGTCAAAAATGCTATGAGCTAGTTTTTTAAACAAACAGCTTCATGATAAATAGAGAAAAGATTGAAATTGTCAAAGATTTTATCTTACTTGGATCCACATTCAATGCTCATGAAAGCAGCCATAAAGAAATCAAATGACATTGCATTGGGCAAATCTGCTGTTAATAATAATAATAATAATAATAAAAAGCGTTCAAGAGAAAAGATGTCAGTTTGAGAACTAAGGTGCACCTGACCCAAGTCAAGGTAAAGTGCCCTCATAAGCATGTAAAATTGGACAATGTATTGAAAAGACGATAGAAAAAGTGATGCATTTGAATTACTGTGTTGGTGAAGAACGTATAAGACAGACCAAAGAAGAATTGGTGCATTTGAATTACGGTGTTGGTGAAGAACACTGAAAGTTCTATGGACTGCCAGAAGAACAAACAAATCTGTCTTGGAAGAAGTACAGCCAGAATATTACTTAGAAGCGTGTTTGTATAGAGTTCATTTCTCGTACTTTGAACATATTATCAGATGGGACCAGTCCCTGGAAAAGGACATCAGACTTGGTAAGGTGGAAAGTCAGCAAAAAAGGAAGACCCCCCCACCCCCCAATGAGATGGATTGACAGTGGCAGCAACAATGGACTTGAACATAAAAACAATTGTGAGGATGGCACAGGACCAGACAGTGTTTCATTCAGTTGTACATAGGCTTGATATGAGTGGGAGGCAACTCAACAACACCTAACAACAGTGGTGGTGGTGGTTGTATGTCGTGAAATTGTTTCCAACTCATAGTGAACCTGTATAGGGTTTTCAAGACTGTAAATCTTTTTGGGAGCAGAAAGCATCATGTTTCTCCTGCAGAGCAGCTAGTAGTTTTGAACTGCTAAGCCTGAGATTAGCAGCCCAACTCATAACTACTATGCTACCAGAGCTCCTTAACAATAGTAGTAAATGTTTTTAAAAACAACCATTACTAAAAGTTAAATTATAAACTTGCATCTAAATAAAAACACTGGTAATGAGTACTCAAAATTCATCACTTTCTAATTATTTTGCTGTATTTTACTATTATCTGTGCTCTACAGTTTACATGTGGCTTCTGTAAATCATAAAGTCAGTGGTTCAATCCCACCAGTCACACTGTGGGAGAAAGATGAGGCTTTCTGCTACCATAAATATTTATAGTCTCAGAAACCCTATACAGGGTTGCTATGAGTAGGAATTGACTTGACAGCACTTAACAACAGATTATTTAGGGTACCTCAGTAGTGAAAGTGGTTTGCAAATGTATGATAACCTAAAAAAAGACTGGTGTTTTGAGCTCTTTGAGCACCTCCATGAAAGAAAGGCTTTGCAAACTGCTGCAGTAAAGCCAAGAAGACTCTATGAAGCAATTCTCCTCTAATGAGCGCTTCTGTAACATATGAGGTGACCGTGAGTTGGGGACCAACTTGACAGCAGTTAACAACAACAAGAAGTTATTTATATCAATGCACCTGTACGATGGTGGTGGTGGTGGTTGTGTGCCATCGTGTCAGTTCAGACTCATAGTGACCCTGTCTATGTAAATCTTTATGGGAGCAGAAAAGACTCATCTTTCTCCTGTGGAGCAACTGGTAGATTTGAACTGCTAACCTTGTGGTTAGCAATCCAGTTCATAATCCACTATGCTACCAGAGCTTATTCTGTATGATGGTGGTTGTGTGCTGTGGAGTCGGTTCCAACTCACAGCGACCCTGCATAGGGTTTCTGAGGCTATAAATCCTTACAGGAGCAGAAAGCCTCATCTTGCTCCCAGGGAACAGCTGGTAGTTTCAAACTGCTGACCTTACAGTTAGCAGCCCGACTCATAACCACTACACTACCAAAGCTCCTTTGTCTGTATGCTAGAAATAATAATTTTATAGTCTTGTGAAGCTCTTTTCAACTCTGTGATTAGTGATGTCACTTGATAGCTTGCAAGCAGCCACAATGGTAGTATTTACACCAGGTAAATTGAGCTTGTTTTCTGGGGAATCTGTTAGCTGCATGACTTTTAAAGTGGGAAGGTGGTAGTGATCTCTTTGTACATAAAAGCCACTGAACCACTGAGCAAAGCCACGATTCCAGATCAGACTCAAACAGAATATAGAGCAAAGAAAAACATGACAAGGAGGCATCAAATAAGATAAAGAAAGGCAGTACATAAAATAAATGAAGAAAAAGAAATACGTACAGATTTTGAATTGATAGCATTTGTCAATATAATGACTTTAAGTAGAAAAAAATGTAGAGAAATAGACTATGTGAGGCCCTGAGGTTGTTTGTAATCTGGCTGAAGAGTTGAGTTTTTATGAAAGTACATGAAATTTCTTCACTACTTCACTCACAAGGATCCCTGATGGGCCATCAGTTAAGAGCTCCACTGCTAACCAAAAGGTTGGCGGTTCAAACCTACCCAGTAGCTGTGAAATAGAAAGGCATGTAAGACTGCACTCAAGAAAGCCCTTTTGGTTGGTCGGTTACATGCAGGGCCAAACAGTGTTACATTCTATTGAGCACAGGGTCGATATGAGTGTGGGTCAACTCAATGGTGTCTAACAACCATGGTGGTAGTATACCGTGGAGTTGGTTCTGACTCAGCTACTCTGTATAGGGCTTCTGAGGCTGGAAATCTTTATGGGAACAGAAAGGCTCATCTTTCTCTAGCGGAATAGCTGGCAGTTTCAAACTGCTGACCCTGAAGTTAGCAGCCTAACTCATAGCCACTACGCTAACAGAGCTCCTTCAAGAAAGCCCTATAGGGAAGTTCTAATCCGCCACATAGGGTCCTTATGAGTACAAATGGATTTAATGGGACCTAACAACAACTTCCCTTTCACTCTCCTGTCTGACGTTGCCAGAGAATCTTCCTGTCAGTTGTTAATAACATTGAGAATGGTGCTGGACAAGGCCATAAAAAACCTGCTCTTTAGAACTAACACTGTTAATAAATACACTGTCTTCTATGATTTATTTAATTTAAACAGCACATAGCTCATTTTGTTCTGAATGCAAATTGGGTGTCCACTGACAGGCTTTGAGCTTTCAGAGATGATGCTCAATGGAAAAACAAGGATTTATCGTGAGATGTATTAAAATAAGAATGATTTATAGAACATCTACATTCACCGTTTTGTGCAGGGTAGTCTGGAATGCATAAGAAATTACAAAAGCTACGGGCAAGAGGTATGAATGATAGCGTGGGGAATAATGTAAGGCAGTGATTCTCAACTGTAACCTGTATCAGAATCACCTGAAGGACTTTTGAAAGCACAAATTTCTGGGCTCCACCCTCAGAGATTCTGTCAGGTTTGGAGTGGGGCCTGACAGTTTATATTTCTAGTCAAGTTCCCAGGTAATCTTGATGCTTCTGGTTCAGGAAATTTGCTCGTCCTTTGGCATCCACTGATGCAAAATATTATATAAGCTAGTGCTCATAGTTGACATGGCTTTCAGTGGTATGAGGATACTGGTGATCACATAATACAGGGAAGTTCAAAATGATGATTGAGAAAGAAGAAAACTGTAGTATATATGTTGTTGTTGTGAAGTGCTGGTAAGCTTGAACCACCAACCTTACAGTTCAAACTGCTTTGCAGTCTGGCATATTAACCCACAGCACCATACCAGGACTCTGTAATATGTATGTTGTTGTTGTTACGTGCCGTGGAGTTGGTTCCGACTCATAGCAACCCAGTACAGGGTTTCCGAGGCTGTAAATCTTTACGGGAGCAGAAAGCCTCATCTTTCTCCTGCGGAACAGCTGGTCGTTTCAAACTGCTGACCTTAAGGTTCGCAGCCTGATTCGTAACCACTATGCTACCAGAGCTCCTCCGTAATATATATAGGGGAGGGAAAAAAGTATTATGAGTGGAAGAAAAAAATGTTTAAGTGTTCTGAGGAAGGAATTCATTGTGTACAGATGTGTGTGTGTGTGTGTGTCTATCCTGTTTGTGTAGGACAATGTTGACAAATAAGTTCTGAAATGAATGATTTTTTGAGGAAAAAGTGTAAATAAGGCAATCAATCTTCTTAGTTGGCGTTAAGACACTTCTTCCCTTCAGTTCCATTTCCTCATTGACAAAGCACTAAACTTTGGTATTATTTTGACTCTCCAAACTCATAGTGACCCTATAGGGCAGAGTAGACCTGCTTCATAGGGTTTCTGAAACTGTGAATCTTTACAGGCTCAGACTGCCTCCTCTTGCTCCCAGAGAGTGGCTGGTGGGTTTGAACAGAAGATTAGCAGCACAATGCTCAACACACTGTACCACCAGGTTCCTTTTGGCTATTTAGAAACTGAAAAGTACTCATGTTTTATCCAACAGGATACTGAGCAATATCAAAATCTCAGACTATGACTTTGATAGTGCCGGAAGACACAAATCACACACACATGCACACACACACACCTACCTCATTGACAACAGGTGCCATGCTGGCAATTTTCTGCAGGCTCAGTTTGCTCACTGAAGGGTTTGTGTCATTGACCCAGTTTCTGAAAAGGACCAAAAATTCTTCTGGAAAGGGGTCCCTGAAGAAGTTGTTCAAGAGCTAAAGAAAACAAAAAACAACAGAAACAAACCAGTTAATAAATTTATGAACAGGTTAAATGGCAAGGTTCAAGATTTCATTCACAAAAATCAAGACATTTCTAGTAAAACTGGAACACAAATCATTCCTAAACTTCACATCTGTTTACTTATGCTTACATATACTCCAATTAATATAGAAGAAGGGAGAAGTAATAGTCACAATGGAAAACAGATGCCTTATTTATAGATTTTTACATATTCACATATACATATCCTTTGCTCCTACCATTGTTGGGAACAACGGAGCAATTTGATTTAAATCACATCTCACTCTGTGGTTTGTAGTCATATAGGTGAGTTCCTTGATAGTGAGTGTTTATAGACACAGGTACTGGTGGTGGTGATGGTGATGGTTGTAGGCTGTGGAGTCAGTTCTGACTCATTGCATCCCTGTATAGGGTTTCCAAGGCTGTAAATCTTTACAGCCTTTTGCCTCAGAGCGAATGGTAGAGTTGAACTGCTGACCATGCAGTTAGCAGCCCAACTAAGAACCCACTATGCTACCAAGGGTTCTTATATACACAGCTAGCATCCATTCTGACATACACCTCCGTGGTGCCATAAGGTATTTTTCATTTGTTTTGGTTTTAAAAGGAAAAACAGCTTTCCTCTTAACAGTAAGCACTGGACTGCTAACCGCAAGTCCGTTAGCTCAAACCCACCAGTCAACTCCTCAGAAACACAGGGTCACTATTAGTCAGAACCTATTTGACAGCACTTAACAACAATGGCTTTAAAGATGTCAAATCCAGACTCTTGCAGCACTGGACCACAGGTAGGATTCAGGCAGATGAGGCAAAGGACATGGTTCTGGGTGCAGGCTGTCAGGCTTTGTCTGGTGGGCAGGCAGCCGGAACTGGGAGTGGGGTTGGACACACTCTGCTCCCTTTTGACTAACTTCATTTGTTCAGCTCTCCTGTCATTGCCACCCTATCAACCACTGCTGCTGGGTTCTGTTCCTCTGACCTCAGTCAGCAGCCTGAGCAGAAGCAGAGACACCAGCCATGTAGAGAGCAATCAGAAGTGAACTCCTATAAGGTTTTAATAATGTGTTAGCCTAATACCCAAATCACATAATGTCCTGTTGCACTGAGCATACTGTGGACATTAAGTGACTCATACTAGGGTGCCACAACTTTGATAGGTTAGTCACTGTGCTAATAAATTGTGATATTGTTGTAGTTGTTAAGTGCCATCGAGTCGGTACCGACTCATAGTGAGCGTATGCAAAGCAGAACAAAACACTGCCCAATCCTGGGCCAACCTCACTACTTTTGCCACGCTTGAGTCCATCGATGCTGCCACTTGACCAATCCATCTTGTTGGGAATCTTCCTCTTTTCCTCTGACCCTCCACTTTACCAAACATGATATCCATCTCCAGTGACTGGTCCCTACTGACAATATGTCCAAAATATGAGAGACGAAATTTGGCCATCTTGGCCTCCTCCAAGGAGCACTCTGGCTACACTTCTTCCAAAACGGATCTATTGGTTCTTTTGGCAGCACATGGCACTTTCAATATTCTCCTCCAACACTGTAACTCAAAAGCATCAATTCTTCCATGTTTTCCTTATTCACTGTCCAGCTTTCACATGCATATGAGGTTATTGAAATTACCATGGCTTGGGTCAGGTGCACCTTAGTCTTCAAGCTGACATC